CTACTTAAGATTTAAGATGAGATGTAATTTTATCACTCAATTGTTTTCCTTTTGACCCTTAACAGTAAATGGCATAATTAGGTGGTTGAAATAATAATAAGCAATTTTAGAAGGCATTTATAATACAAAACGAAAAACAGAAATATATAAATAATAATAATAATAATATCAATTTATATACTTTTTAAACTTTAGATGTTTTCTAAAACAAAAATACATTTAAATTACAAAATCATGTAATCAAAAAATATATTAAGCATTAATTTTTAACTTCTATAATTATTCTTTTAATATATTCTAGCATTAAATTTAAGTGGAGAGTCAAATCAAGGAAGTAATGAAGTAAAAGGTGCCATTATTTATAATTCAAATGAACTAAATGATAATTATGTTACAATTCAATCTTCAAATGAACCAAAGGTACAAAATATAAATTTTCTGTATTTTAATTCTTCTTATAAAATCACTCTAGTTAAGTTAAATTATTTATTTTTATTTATATTTAGGTAAGTTATTGCAATAAACATTTAATTAACAAAATTAGTGATTATATACATAATTTTTTAATTAACTATTACATTAATTGTCACTATAATTTTTAAAACATTTATAAAGTTAAACTTTGAAAACCAGGGCTGTGGAGTCACGTAAAAATCTACCGACTCCGACTCGACTTTTCCTTACCATCCGACTCCGACTCCAACCAAGGGTGGACTTGTTACCGAAAGAGACCCGGAAATTCCGATGTCATCACGTGACCTCAGAATAAAAGATTCAATAAATAGAGTTCTAATAAAGATAGAATGTAGAAACTTTTTATTCCAAAGCTAAAAGACTCCTCTAAGTAATATATAAATATGTATTCAATAATTTTTACTTTTCTGGTTGTTATATATAACAGAAGGAAAGTGTAGCGCTCGGTTAAAAATGACTCTTTCCAAATTTTTACATTTTTGGATTCAGGACACATTGAAATTTCAAGATATGCAAAAGATTTGAGGTTTTTTTCTATGTGTGGATATTAGACTGTGTGTGTGGTTCTAATTTTGTTCACCCTGTTTGAAGCCTAATAATTTCTGTGGTCAGAGGAGTCAGATGGTTTAACACAGGAGTTAGTTATTAAGCATCAAAGTGGTTGAACAAATCATGTCCCCAATATACATTCTAACATCTTAGGCGAGAACATTTTAGCGGGTTTTACTGTACTATTATAAAATGACAAAAAAGCTTACTTTGAGGGTAGAGAGAGTTTTATTTTATTTTAAATTTTGAACGCTAATAACGAGTAAAATATTCATTAAGACATATGACACATGGCCACTTTTATGTCTTCATTCTGTCAACCTTTAATTAAGAACCAAAATTTAATAGTAGACTATTAATGCCCCTTTATACGCAAGCCACAGTGCCACATTTTGTTTCTTAAACTTTACCCATTCTGAAATATTGTTTAATATCTCAGAACAGAAAATAAAGAAATTAAACAAATTAGATGCCAACACACATGCGTGCACGAATTTTTCCCCTTTTATTGACTTTTTTGAGGGGTTCGGGAGGTCTCCAAACATGTAGATTTGCAAAAAAAAAAAACCTGGAGGGTCAAATTTGACATGATCCCAATACTTTTCTGTTTTATATACATAACAAGTTGGGAAGTAAAAAGGAGTCGGAGTCTGCTCAAAATTAGAGAATGACGGTATAAGTTTTATATTATAGACTTTTTGTTAACAGTCGTTTTATATTGGAAACAAGTAGACGAAGCAAGTGAGAAATACCCTAGTAATTACTATTAAGTGGACTCTATATTGTTTAAGCCATATAATTATTACCATTTAAAAGATCTTAAAGTCGAAAACTGCATTTAAATTTAAACTATCGTTCCCAAATTAAATAAATTTTACCTGACAAGGTGCAAACAAATATGTTATGAAGGTAAATTTTGTCAAAAACAATTCCAATCAACTTAAAGTAATTACATGTTATACATAATAATCGTATCTACTGTTATTATGTAAAAGATGTAAAATAAATACGAAATATCATTTTGTATATTTATTGTAATTAAAATATAATATTTAAATTTATTTTACATAAAAATTGCACATAAATAGGCATAGAATTAGCTAGTTTCGAATAATCTTATAACTTAAATAAAAAATAAATTATATGTTACTTTCGTACCAATTTTTTCTTCTATTTCGTATGCCTTTTATAGCCACTGCTTTATACTCTGATTCCTGTTGTCGTTGTTTTAATCTAAAAATTTTACAGCGAATTTTAACATCGATAAATATATTCAGGTTACACAGAGGTACAGTAGCCTACACAGTTGTGTTAAGCAGCTGTTATTTTGCAGAGAATTTATTATAAACTATAATAAATAATAATTTTATGAACTATTTTATAAAATCTGCGTTATAAAAAAGTTGAAATATTTAAAATAATTTCTTTATTACATATAGTAATTTAAAGATTTTTTATTGCTGAATTATTCTGAATTCTGTTCTCATTATAATTAACAAAAGAGTATTAGCAATTTGTGATTTTATGTTTAGTCCTAATTAAAATTATACAATAAATTAAATAGTCTATAACTTAAATTAATTTGTCCACAAAGTGGTGGAGAAAACCGATTCCTGAGATTTTATATGATTGTGAAACAACTGCCGCAGTGGATCTCTACTGCATTGATAGAAGAGATTTGCATTAATAGCTAAGTTGCGGCCGAAGTTTTCATCTGTAAAACGTGAACGTCGAACGTCGAGCACCGCTTACAAGACAGCGGCGCTCGACGTTCACGTTTTAGAGATGAAAACTTTGGCCGCAACCTCTCTAATAACAAAATTTGTCTGGTCTTTTCACAATGTCTGTTTTATTTACTTTTTGCAATGTTTTCTCTTAATAGCTGCACGCTGCACCTAATTTTGAAATTTTTGTCTTATTTTACTAAATTGTTTCTTTGAATTTAAGTTTGTCCTATTTCTTTATGTTATTATTGTGAAGTCTGCCGACTGTGTGCGATTGTTGAGACGGTCGAGGGTTCATAATAATCCTGCATGGATGTGGAATTGTGGAATCAGTGTTTGAATACAGCAATTTGATTAACATTTCAATATAATATCATCAATTTATAGAGCAATAACAGTTAAATTTTAAAAAATAATCAAACTTAAATTAGTCCCATTCTAACTGATTCTAAAATGTGTGCCGATTGGCCTGTAAATGTTATAGTCAGCCTAATTTAGGGTAAACAAAAAAGAAAACACAGTCAACTCGGAGACAGAAATTATAATTAAAACATTTGTGCAATGTTTATTTCATAAATAATCACGATTTGCTTGTAATNATCTGTAAAACGTGAACGTCGAACGTCGAGCACCGCTTACAAGATAGCGGCGCTCGACGTTCGACGTTCACGTTTTAGAGATGAAAACTTTGCCGCAACCTCTCTAATAACAAAATTTGTCTGGTCTTTTCACAATGTCTGTTTTATTTACTTTTTGCAATGTTTTCTCTTAATTAATTAATTTAATAGCTGCACGCTGCTCCTAATTTTGAAATTTTTGTCTTATTTTACTAAATTGTTTCTTTGAATTTAAGTTTGTCCTATTTCTTTATATTATTATTGTAAATTCTGCCGACTGTGTGCGATTGTTGAGATGGTCGAGGGGTCATAACAATCCTGCATGGACGTGGAATTGTGGAATCAGTCTTTGAATACAGCAATTTTATTAACATTCCAATATAATATCACCAATTTATAGAGCAATAACAGTTAAATTTTAAAAATTAATCAAACTTAAATTAGTTTGTGATCCCATTTAACTGATTCTAAAATGTGTGCCTGGTTGGTCTGTAAATGTTATGGTCAACCTAATTTAGGGTAAACAAAAGAGAAAACACAGTCAACTCGGAGACAGAAATTATAATTAATACATTTTTGTAATGTTTATTTCATAAATAATCACGATTTGCTTATAATCTAATGTTAGTGATATATTATTAAAGTGGCGAATTTGAATTTATTAACATTAATTTATTGAAAATCAATTATTTTTTATTACGTCAATAAAAATATTACTAAAAGGGCGATTCAACTTCTATTCACATTTTCAGTAACGGTGATTAGAACTGTATATGTTATATTGTCTAATTTATGTGTTTTTTTTTACTTTCATACTTCCCCTCCACACATACTTCGCCCATCGTTTTGACAATAATGATATGTCTGCAGAATAGAAGTATGATATTTTCACGATAGTCAGTGTGACCCTGGGAATCAACGGCTTTGATTAGGAAATTTTGGATCACCCGGCTTGCAATACGAATCTGTCATTCGATTATCATCTGTTGGCTCTTTAAAGAAAGAAAAACAGAAAACAGAAGATCAGCCTTAGAAGACAGAAGTCTTGGCAGGTGAGCCACTGTATGAAGAACTCTCTACACTCAGAGAGTTAGTCGACACCAGTCAAAATACTTAGTTTCTGCAAGCATACCATCGTTGGCACAATAATAGGCGAAGTATAGGAGGATAGAGTACTTTAAAAAAAATGTAAATTGGAACTATGTAACAAACATAGCTCCATTGCCATAACTGAAATTTTGCATAGCAGTTGGTTGAACCGCCCTTGCACAGTAAAAATTGCAATTTTTTATAATGTATATTTATAATATAGTGAAATAAACTAAAATAAATTACAATTTACAATAATATGACTTTTATAGTAAAAATATTTGAAATTTAATAATGTTTTCCGAAGCATTATTTATAAGAAAACTTAATTGTACAGCCAAATTAATAATATTAATAAAATGTTTTAATTATATAATTGAATATATTTCCGATGTAACATGTAATTTATGCATTTCAAGATAAATGATCATCTAAAGAATCTGCCCAGTTTGTCCAAGCAAATTGATGAAGAGCAGGATCAGCAAGTGGATTGATAGTACTATCAACAGGAGGAACTGCACTTGATTTGAATTCTTCCAAACGTTTCTGCATTGCAGTCACAACCTGAAAATATAAATTTATGTAATTTTTATTTAAACTGTGATTTAGAAGACATTCATTTTTATTTTTGTCAAACTATCAGAATAAAGAAAACAATTAATTAAATAGAAAAGTAACTTAAAATCAATTTTATATCGTTTGTTCATAGTTTTATTTGCCAAAGAAAGAGGAATAAGTCGAATAAAATTATAATATAAAAATGTATTTTTATGTAATTAAAGAATTCGTAATTTTAATTTATATATCGTCATGATCAACTGTCACTAAACACTGATAGTTAGTCGTGGGTTTGCACCTCGTCAACGGATTGAACACGTGGAATTTTTCGGGTTTCTTCATGTTTGTAACACCTAAGTAAGGGCCAGTTTTCCTTTAAAGTCATCCAGGGAGGCATTCTCTCGGCAGATCACCCATGTGT